GAGCCCCATCTACACCATGTGAAGTAGTTACATGGACAGACAACAGACAGTACTATTATATTTATATATATATAGATATATACAACAGACAGTACTATTATATTTACATAGAAGTAGTTACATGGACAGACATCAGACAGTACTATTATATTTATATAGATAGATACAACAGACAGTAGTATTACATTTATATAGAAGTAGTTGCATGGACAGACATCAGACAGTACTATTATACTTATATAGATAGATACAACAGACAGTAGTATTACATTTATATAGAAGTAGTTGCATGGACAGACATCAGAGAGTACTATTATACTTATATAGATATATACAACAGACAGTAGTAGTATATTTATATAGAAGTTTTTACATGGACAGACATCAGACAGTACTATTATATTTATATAGATAGATACAACAGACAGTAGTATTACATTTATATAGATAGATACAACAGACAATAGTATTACATTTATATAGAAGTAGTTACACAGACAGACATCAGACAGTACTATTATATTTATATAGATATATACAACAGACAGTACTATTATATTTATATAGAAGTAGTTATATGGACAGACATCAGACAGTACTATTATATTTATATAGATATATACAACAGACAGTACTATTATATTTATATAGAAGTAGTTATATGGACAGACATCAGATAGTACTGTTATATTTATACAGAAAAGCTAAAAAACAACATAATTCTAGTGTAAACAATGTTATCATTACCCCTTGAAATTAGCTTTCTTACAAATATCTATTATTCCTTTAAAAAACTTAAATACAGGGTGAAACAGGAATTATCAACAAATAATAGATGAACGTTAAATGACTGTAGCATGCAGATACCTAATGCTTTGTACACTATACAATCAGTGTCTTTAGGGAGCCAACCCCTATATTATGTATGAAGTGGAGGAGTAAAAAACAAATCAAAACACAGAATATAAAATTTTATTACACAAATTCGTAGAATAATTACTTTAAAAGACATGAAGTTTTATTTAAAGTAATGTTTTAGATGTATATGTTTTATTTAAAAAGGTTGCTGTTCTGCTGGTAAAATGTTTTTTCATGCTCAGTGGGGGCTGTGTCTTAGTCTAGGCATATATTTGCCCGTTGCTATTTAGTTCCATAGAAACTATGAATGCTCAAACAACTTTCTATGACAATCTTCAGTTGCAGCTTAATATTTTACATGTCAAAATAATGCAATCAAATAGTCAATAGCTACTGTAATCATGAACCGTATCAAATCCATATTTTGACTCCACGAAATGTACAGTTGAGACAATGCAAACATTTCATGTAAAGTGTACCCTAGAAGTATATCGGAGTGGCCCAATGACTAACAGAAGAGAAATGAGACTTAAAAACTGAGGTACATACACCAGCCTTACCATCACACATCTGGGAAAATGAATGGGGTATCATGTAGAAAGAATCTATCGCATTCTTGTAGCCAAAAATTACCACTTACTTTGTTACTGTAGTGATAAAGCAAGCTAATTTTGTTTATGTAATGAAGATAACTCGGGTTTATTCTGTTTCTGTAATGAAGATAAATAGAGTTTATTCTGTTTCTGTAATGAAGATAAATCGGGTTTATTCTGTTTCTGTAATGAAGATAAATCGGGTTTATTCTGTTTCTGTAATAAAGATAAATCGGATTTATTCGGTTTCTGTAATGAAGATAAATCGAGTTTATTCTGTCTCAGTAATGAAGATAAATCGGGTTAATTGAGTTTCAGTAATGAAGATAAATCGGGTTTATTCTGTTTCTGTAATGAAGATAAATCGGGTTTATTTTGTTTCTGTAATGAAGATAAATCGGGTTTATTTTGTTTCTGTAATGAAGATAAATCGGGTTTATTTTGTTTCTGTAATGAAGATAAATCGGGTTTATTTTGTTTCTGTAATGAAGATTATTTTGTTTCTGTAGTGAAGATAAATCGGATTTATTCGGTTTCTGTAATGAAGATAAGTCGGGTTTATTCCGTTTCAGTAATGAAAATAAATCGGGTTTATTCTGTTTCTGTAATGAAGATAAATAGAGTTTATTTTGTTTCTGTAATGAAGATAAATTGGGTTTATTTTGTTTCTGTAATGAAGATAAATTGGGTTTATTTTGTTTCTGTAATAAAGATAAATTGGGTTTATTTTGTTTCTGTAATAAAGATAAATTGGGTTTATTTTGTTTCTGTAATGAAGATAAATTGGGTTTATTTTGTTTCTGTAATGAAGATAAATCAGTAATATATTTTTTCTGTAATGAAGATAAAACAGGTGTATTTTATTTCCTTAACAATTAGTTGTGCTGGAATACAAGTTTCAATGGCTAGTTCTCTTTAAATTTGTACCACACTTTGTTAAAATCTGTCAGAAATTTTAATAATTATTAAATCTTTGTAGTAATTTTCAAAATTTTTAATTTACTGTACACAAAGTGTAAAATCAAAGAAAAGACCTTGTTACTATATTATTTACATTCACTTATGATAAAACATTTTATTTAACAATTTAGTTTAACAAGGTTAAAAAATATGTAGTTAAAAATATTACTTTCTTTCTAGAGGCGTTTGTTTTTCATAAAACCTTTAGCTTCTTTAACTAGTCTGCTAATGTCTTCAACACTTTCTTTTTCTGGATTCCAGTCTGAATCAGAATCTGAAGGTTCATACACATCTGAGTCATCAATGAAACTATCACTGTCCTCATTTTCTGCTTTTCGTTTTTGATCTAAAAAAAATACAACTTAACATGTAAGAGTGTATTGGATGTTATATTTATGTGTTATTTCTGATACAAAGTAAATGCAACTTCAATGATCACAAATTTTCTGAAATGAAAACACTATTCACTACATGAATATAAATGAGAAAATATCATACACACAAGATTAGTTTATGAATGCTTAGTATATAAACATATGAAAATAGTTTCGTGAAATCTAAGAAAATTAATTCACTGTGTCAGAAACATTAACAATCAATAGCATAATAATTAAAATACATACTTCCTTTTTTTGCAGCCTCTCGTTTTGGCCTCATTTTTATAGTGTGACTGTACTTCTGTCTGTGCTTCAAATTCTTCCTGTAATTAAAAAAAGTTGTATAAATTAAACAAAGCATCAGAAAGTACAGATGAATAACTAGTCATTACGATACAAACATTGATGTAACGACTGTAAATTACACAATGCACCAGAAAGTACAGGTGAATAACTAGTCTTGTCTGTACTTTCTGGTGCTTTGTGTAATTTACAGTCGTTACATCAATGTTAGTATGGCTAGTTATTCACCTGTACTTTCTGGTGCTTTGTGTAATTTACAGTCGTTACATCAATGTTAGTATGGTAAGACTAGTTATTCATTATTACGATACAAACATTGATGTAATGACTGTCAGTTACACAAAGCACCAGAAAGTACAGATGAACAACTATATATTAACCAATCATTAATGTGTTATCAACTGTAAATACCTGTAACAGTCTACTCCATACTGACACTCAGGTTTTTTCTCTTCATTGTCGCTGCTTGCATCTTCTGCTTCCAGAAAGTCTCGATCTCCTGGATGGCTAAATTCTTCAAAATGTGATGGATTTTTTCTATCCCAAAGAAAAATATACTGCTGTTACTGTGACATCATTAAAAATATTAAAAATGACTTTTGCCAAGGAACTGGATTTTCAGACTTCTCCACAATATCTTGTATATATTACTACTTCCTAATCACTTTAGCCAAGGAACTGGATTTCAAACTTCTCCACAATATCCTGTATATATTACTACTTCATAATCACTTTGGCCAAGGAACTGGATTTCAAACTTCTCCACAATATTCTGTATATATTACTAGTTCATAATCACTTTAGCCAAGGAACTGGATTTCAAACTTCTCCACAATATCCTGTATATATTACCACTTCATAATCACTTTGGCCAAGGAACTGGATTTCAAACTTCTCCACAATATCCTGTATATATTACTACTTCATAATCACTTTGGCCAAGGAACTGGATTTTAAACTTCCCCACAATATCCTGTATATATTACTACTTTATAACGTAACATAACAGAAATCAATTGTATTAATATTAATGATTGCTTATTAGCACAACCTATCAACAATAGCTTATAACACTAAGTAATAACTTGGTTATTATCTTTGACAATTGAAGCAATTTTTTTCTTGAGCAGTAACCCAAAAATTGAATAATAAATTGCATAAATGGTGTTCACACAACCAGTTATAATTTTGGAGTTTTTAAGATGGTAAAATAAAACTTTGAGATGCATTTACACAACCAGCTATAATTTAGGGTTTGTAAGATGGTAAAATAAAACTTTGAGATGTGTTTACACAACAAGACACAATTTTGG